CACACACACACACACACACACACACACACACACACACACACACACACACACCATGGTTGCAGCAATCATAATGATATTAGACAGTGCCTAAAATAGTCCCCAGCTAGGTAATGCACTGTGTAATTTCATTGCACCTGCTGCAGTTATGGTACGTCAGCAAAATTTCTTGATTAGACCAGAATGAGAGCATAGTTCCTATATATATTGGCCCAGAAAATTAAAATTAAATTTTTTGTCAAAGTTTATAAGCTTTTAAACAGGAAATAGATCAAAACTCTTTTTTAAACATTTTTTTAGCCAGATGCTAGTGGTCTAATTTGACTCAATGATTTATGCTAAGCTATAAACGCTCCCGCCAGACCAGTAGACTGACTTAATGGACTGTTCAACACACAATAAATATTTTCTTAAATGACATATTTTCATATCAGCAACATAAATTTAGAAGCAATATGTCCCTATCATTTCGTTGCTTAAGCTCTAATTGTGCCATTTCAATGGAAACCTGAGGGCATGGGTACAAACACTGAAAGAACAGACATAACCTGGAGCAAAGATTGGAAGATGACACTGGAAGGACACGATAAATGATGTGAGGCAGACCGCAATCTGGTATTTTTAAAGAAAAACAAACTGTACAGAGCCAACAAAAAAAGGCAGTCTGTAAAGATTAACGCTTGAGTATTTTGACTGGAAGGCAAAAGTCCTTGTCTAGGGACTTCATCAAAGACCATATTAAGTGTTACACTTTGTCCCATTCATAGCAATGCAAGTAAACCGTCTTGTATATCTGCAGCGTTTGAGTTTGGTTCAGCCAAAAACAAAAGTTCTGTCACACTCACTCTTTACTTGTCCCAAACCGGTTTGCTTTTCATTCTCACTCAGAATATAAATAAAGGTAGAAAACAGTATCCATTGCCTTTCAATGTGTTCATTTCTTATTATAGATGTTATGGTAAGAAAATGGTGAATATATTACAATTTTTGGGTGAACTAACCCTTTAAACTGTACTCATTTTTCATACTGTATGTGTAAAGTTAAGGTATAACTATAACAAGCCCAACAGGATCTCTCGATGAAACGTCAAGACACACACACTTCCTGTTTGCAGATTTGAAGTCAACGCCCAGCTCACTGCACACCCAAGGGTGTTGATCACATGACCTTTAACATACTAAAACAATCACTTTATTGTGGCTTTCATTTATAGAATGTCACCTGCTTAATCTTTCATGTCTGTGACACCCATGCATTTTAAAATGATGTGCACCTTTCCGAAATATGCACAAAATAAACTAAATATAAAGTATGTAAATATTAATGAAACATCACAAAAAAAGAAAAGTCTTTCTATTGTAACTAAAGCGAAAGGACTAAACCTAAATATACAAGCCTTCAAAATATCTCTTATGAAAGATAAAAAAATAGAACGACTTTTATTTAGAAAGGTATTACTATTTACTCATTTTCACAATTTTCATAATCAGTTCAATCAGCCGAACACTTAAACATTAGCACAACCTAAAATATTTACTATGTTTTACCCATCTTTTTCTCATAATTCATCTGAGATTTAAAGCTAATATTTCAATAATTTAACAGTACGTTCATCCGTCTCCATTTACTTGCATTTGAAGCGACCCTTAACTGAAATAAAAAAAATAATGAGGATGTATTTTTATTCAATGCTATGACCGCAATAAAGGCCATCTTGAAATCAAAAGAAAATATTTCACATTCATGTCACTGTTCAAATTAGCAGTTTCACCCAATAATTCGAATTAACTTTATGCGCTAAACTGAAATATCCTGTCTATTCACACACATTTTTATCTAATAACAAAATCACATTACTGTTTTAATGCACATATTGGAATTTATTCAGTAAAAGTGTTTCCATTGTAGTTTATGCGAATCTTTTCTTATCGAATAATTTTATCCTACTCAAATTATCATTTTCAAAATGTATGTGATTATTGGAGTTTCCATCAACCGATTTTTTATGCGCATATCCAAAACACACATAAAAATAGGTGGATGGAAATGTAGCTTTATTCAAAGACTGGGATGCAAACTATAGCATTAGCAAACAATGTTAATGAAAATAAACAACTGCATTCAGCTCATACACACATCACTCAGACTCAGCACAGCTCTGTTATGGGACATTTCTGTGATCTATAGAGAAAATCAACAGCCTCAGGGTTTAGCCTATCCTATACACACAAACACACACACAAACACAAACAAACACACACAAACACAAACACACATACACAAAACACACAACACAAACAACACACACAACACACACAACACAAACAACACAAACAGGCGGAGGCGACCCTTCACTTATTACCTTCTGCCACACCCCAGGGGTACTGCCTGCCCCGGACACGCTTCCCATTGACCTCAATGATGGTGTTACTGCCGACCACAGCCAGCGGCAGACGATCCTGAAGGACACAAAACATACATGTAACATACAGACGCATTTAGAATGAAACGGAGAGGATCATATTGACTCTTAATGTGTGTATGTGTGTGTGTGTGTGTGTGTGTGTGTGTGAGGGTGAGAATGCCAATAATGTGCTCAGTGAGTGAGTGTCTTTAGTTGACCTATTTCCTCAGTGGGACAAATTAGGGAGCCAATATTTGGGTACTTAGTGCACTATAAGCAGGGTTATTATCAGTCACTTAAAAGCAAATAGTAGTGCTTACAACAAGGTCTGATTAGGTAACATTACTAAATGCATTAATAAACATGTACCAATGATGAACAATATATTTTTATATTATTAAAGGCAAGTGATATCAAATGTTTTTGTTAGATTACTTCATTAACTTTAATGTTACAAATACAACTTTGGTTTTAAATAATCTATTATAGGCGTGGAACAATAATTGTTTTCAAGGCATAGCGGTGTTTGGAAAAGTCAAGGTTTTAAAACCGCAAACATATTCTGCTATACTGTTCCTAAGGTATGTGTTAGATTTTTATATACATTTTTTTGTTTCGTTTTTTTAGATCAACAGTATCTCCAGCAGAAAAGATCCCCAAAAATGCCGTTTTAAATTGTACATAAATCTGTGTTTTAGAAACTAATGAAGACAGAAGTCAATTATTGATTTGAATTATGTAGTCTTACAGGATTACTGTTCCAAAATATTTTAAATATTCTCAAAATAAAATATATTGTATTCAAAAGGGAAAAAAGGTTTTTGTTTTTTACTCAGACATTTAAAAAGTATATATTTTAGAGCAGTAATCACAATACTTTAAAACTGTGATAGTTTTATCCAAGGTTATATGATACCATCAGAATCTTATACCGGCCCATGCCTAATTTATTATTATATATTGAGATTATAATATAGGAATAAAAGCTTTAGAGCAATTATTCATTGTTATTTTATAACTAATCTAGTTAAGTCATTTGATAAAACCTTCTGATATTTGAAACAAACATTTTTTAAACAATATTTTAAAAAGTTAAATTGGTTTAAATTGAAACCGTTTATAATAAAGTAATAACTAAAACTGTATTAAAAGCTTTACATTTGAAAAGAATGGATAGAAAAAAATACAAACATCTAAAAATATTATAAAAAATTATTGTTTTAGTAATATATTGAATAAATAAATATTAAACTTAGTTTTAATTATCTTTGTTTGAAAGTAGAGCAATAAATAAACACCAGGAACTCAAATAAATTGAGATGAAATGAAATATTTTAAAAAGTTAAATGGGTTTAATGGGAGCAGCTCTTGCAAGTTTATTTATAAAGCACATTTCATTCACAGTCGTAATTCAAAGTGCTTTACATAAAGAAGAATAAAATAATCAATGATTAAAAATCATTAAAAGAATTAAAAATTATTTAAAACAGATAAAAGAGGTTAAAATGTGTTAAAACAGGTAGAAACAAATTTAAAAAAAAATAAAGACGTTCCATCTGTTGAACGCAGCACAGTGCCCATTTAGTAAAGGCACAGCTAAACAGATGTGTTTTCACTCTTGATTTGAACGTGCTTAATGTTGGAGCACATCTGATCATTTGTGGAAGCTGTTTCCAGCAGTGAGGGGCATAGGAGCTGAAGGTGGATTCATCCTGCTTTGACTGAACTCTTGGAACTTCTAGTTTATATGATCCTAAAGATCCGAGCAATCTGTTAGGTTTGTATTCTGTATTAGCAAATCTGTAATGTATTGAAGTCCTAGGCCATTTAGTGATTTATAGGCTAGTAATACTTTAAAATCAATTCTGAATGTAACTGGGAGCCGGTGTAAAGACCTAAGAACAGGTGTGATGTGCTTCTTATTAAAGTAATAACTAAAACTGCATGAAAAGCTTTACGTTAAACATTACAATATATTGAATAAAGTAATAAATGTATTTTCCATCCAAATAGTCTTTATTTCCATTGCAAGTTTAGTTTTTTTCTAGCTAGCTCAGTAGATCAACTTGTTTCAGTAAACTGCAGATTTCTAATCTAATGTTTACATTTTATTCTAGCCAATTTTCAATTAACAAAAACACAAATGAACCAGTTTAGCTTTTTTTTAAATCTTCCACAATAAGCGTCTCCTTGACTGTTAATTTAAATATGCACAATGATCACTTCCAAAGAAATGATAGAAAACAGTATAACACAGCATAAAGTGTGTGTATTATCTATTGTAGTATGTACAGTTGAAGTCAGAATTATTAGCCCTCCTTTGATTATTATTTTTTTCTCTTTTAAATAATTCCCAAATGATGTTTAACATAGCAAGGAAATTTTCACACTATGTCTGATAATATTTTTCTTTTGGAGAAAGTCTTATTTGTTTTATATTTCGGCTAGAATAAATACAGTTTTACATTTTTTAAGAACCATTTTAAGGTCAAAATCATTAGCCCCTATAAGCTATATATTTTTTTCGTCTACAGAACAAACCATCGTTAAACAATAACTTGCCTAATTACCCTAACTATGCTTAAAATAATCTATTAACCGTTAACCAAAAGGGTGCGTTTGTAACCGATTAATGGTATCGGTTAAACGATTAAAAAATATTATTTTATATATTATTAGTTTGGCTGCATAAGGGGCCGATCGAATGCGCTTTTTTCCGTTAAAAGGGGCATCTTTTGAATGGTTTAATAAAAGCCGCAAGTGTTTTGCACGCCGCTCATCCCAGAGCAGCAAGTGTTTGTGTTGTCAAGACAACTAAAGAGAACTTTTAAAGAGCATGGTTTCTGCTACATTCATTCTTCCATGGCGAGGCGCCACACCAAAATGCATCCCTTCATGGCTACATTACAGCTTCCCATTCAAAACAAGTCATTGTTGTTGTTGTTGTTTTTAATAGCGAGTTATAATCGCAACAAAATGTATTAAAAGGTAATTGAATTATAACATCGCAAACTTTTCTGTAACCGTAGCAGTGCTGTTCGCTATTTGTTAAACCCTTTTAAGTTACGTGCTGACTGATTGACTGGCTGGCTGACTGGTGCGTGATGCATGGCGCCAGCAAACACGATGTAGCTTTCAGTTAGGATGTACACAGATTCCATAATTTTAATTTATTTACAGATAAAGGTCTGTGGTTCTGCATACAGTGACTTTATCTTGCTGGAGTTTATAGCCGTTTCACTTTACGATCGGCCCCTTGTTCAACTGCAACACATATTTGTCAACTCGCGGGACTGTAATGTGTGTAACCACACGTGCCTACAGACATATTTGCCAAAGAAGCAAAATGGAATCAACTTTAAAATAATGATTTCTATTAAACATGTTAAAAGGTTTTATGATATAAAAATAACAGAGGGACATTAAATAAATGCATATTTTCCGTGGAGCGAGCGATTTGGGGAAGTCTGCTATTTTTATTTGACTGAAGAAAAAACATGATTGGAAAAAAAACAGCCTATGCCGTTTTTTAAAAAGGATCAGTCAGTGTTTTTGTTTTGTAATATAAATTATTCATTTAAGTGGAAAATAATTTAGGGCAGGCCTATTTATTTTATTCATTTTCTTTAGTTTATTCGGTTTTTCTATGCTGTTGGAAACACTGCAGGTGCGTGAAGATGCTCTGTTGTTATGTTCTGTTATTAATCTGCTAGCATGTTAAAATAAATCAGTATTTTAAAATGCAATATTTCATGTGTCAGACACAAAATAGATACGTTATTAATTAAAAAAATTTATAATAATTTAATATTAATCTGACTAGTTAACCGTTAATATAATATCCGATTAACGAGCCGCAGTTGTTGGTTAGCAAAATTTAAGGAAATGAGCATCATTAACCCGCCTATTTAACCTAATTAAGTGTCACTTTAATCAGTATAGAAGTGTCGTGAAAAATATCTGGTGTCATCATGGGAAAGATAAAATAAATCAGTTATAAGAAATGAGTTATTAAAACTATTATGTTTAGAAATGTGCAGAAAAAAATCTTCCCTCCGTTAAACGGAAATTAGGGAAAAAAAATAAATGGGGCCTAATAATTCAGGGAGGCTAATAATTCTGACTTTACTTCAACTGTATGTATTATGTAATGTAGCATTTGAAGACACAAACCTTGATCTTCTTCACTAGCTTGCTCTCCTCCTCGTCATCAGTTTCTGGGAACTCATAGATTTTGATCTTATGTTCCTGGATCTCTCTCATTATCTGGAAAAAAGGACAGAATGAAAAATAAAGACTAAAATTGGCACTGAGTGGTAAAAAAAAAATAAATAAAAAAGAAAAAAAGGAAAAAGAAATCTCCCAGCAGGCTCTGGAGGCTCTCAGTGTCACAAGTTTGGGATTGTACTCGCTCTCAGAGGAGTCAGCAAAAAGCAGGTGTGGACAGATTTATCTCTTGCGTTGTGAAGGGTTCTCACTGCAGCCGCTGTTTGCAACACTGTGACACACACGCCAGTCACTTCAGCTGTTCTGCAGATGTTCAACTGAACACTGGAAATGCTTTTATGAAGCCACAACCTTTGTGTTTCTAAGAAGAGGTTAGTCGATATCAAACTGAGAGGAGGCTGACAGCATGTTCGTGAATATATTGTATAACAGCAACAAGTTTACCATAGGAATTATGCAATGTAAAACAAGCTTCTATTTGCCGCTATAAAATAATAAAGGGCTCTGCTTTAAAACCAAGTCAGCTGTTTAAAAAGCATATTACTGCATCTCAGGTGGGACATGCCAGATATTGTGGTCACATTTTACAATAAGGCTTCAATAGTTAATGTATACTTAAATACAGCATTGCTACCATAGTTCAACATTTACTAATGCATTATTAACATTAACTAAATTCATGATTATTAACATTAGTTAATGCATGAATTAACAATGAGCAACTGTATTTTCATTATTGAACATTAGCAAACATGAACAAATACAGTAATGAATGCATTGTTCATTGTTTGTTAATTTTAGAAAATCCATTAAATAAAAAAATAAAGTGTTACAGATAATGTTTTGCAAAAATCTGTAGCAGCATTGCAGGTTCCCTTTGAGATTAGATTTCTTTAGATGTATTTTTTAGGAGTTCGGGATTAATTGTTATTTAAAACAAAAATACATGAAAACAAAAACACATATAAGAAACTAAATTTTATACAGACTCTTATTTTTAAAAAAAAGTTTGTTTACTGTTGCCAGTCATACTGAATACTGTAGTAATATAATAATTAATTACACAGTCATATACAGTATATTTCCACAGGAATGTTTGACTTTAATGTAGATTTTTTAAAGTCTGGATAAAGAGAATTGTTTCTGAACACAATTATAAATGTTTCAAAAGTATTATTGAACATTACAGAGACTCCGAAGAATGCAGTACCTAGTTTTGGAGTTAAAATGCTCAATATTTTGGCACCAATTATGTGTTCAGGATTATCTGGGTGTGGCTACAACAGTAGCTTGATGATACAATGGAGTGTGGCCCCTCCTTTAGATGCTGTCATCATTAGTTTCTACAGTCTACATTTTGCTTGCTTTCAGAATGTATGCTATTTAAAAACATGGTGTTCTCAATTCACGTCTAAAAACCATTCAAATGCAAGCTGTATAGCTACTTCGTTTTTAAATGTTTTTTGGTGGTATCTGTCATTGCTTAGCAACCATGAACTGTGCTCGCCTTAAAGTCGAGAGTGTTTCCACTCACTGAAGCAATGATGCGTGTTTTATAAAGCTAAATAAGCTTTTGTTGCTAGAAGTTGCATCAGTAGCACCCACACTCAAAACATTTGTTTATACTGCTTCTTTAAACTACTTACTTAAAATGTGCTGAATCAATACAATTCTTGAGCTGTTTTTGGACAACTTAATTGTTTTATGTTCAATCCACTGAAAAGTGAAGTAGGTGATTGTCTTCAGAAGCATGTTTTGTTGTGCTGGTTGAAAGTCTCTTCACATTCCAATGGTACTGATTAAAGTAAGAGATCTAAATGTATTTTTATATTCTGGGTAAGGCATAAGACTAAAAAATGTTTGTCCAATTAAAATGTCAGGCTGACATCTCCCATAATTCTGATACGGAGCTCAAACTGTTCGTCAGCAAATGCAAATTTGAGCTACTGCGCAGCTGTTTGTACGCAGCTCTGCCATTTGGGCATACACATGCCTGCAGGTTCACGAGAGTGATAGAGAGAGCGCGAGCGGTAAAAACATGCTGGATCGAAACTTTTTTAAAATCCTGAATCAATATTGGAGTTACTTTCGCATGCTGGAGGAAGGACGGCACCATGGTTAAAGTATTTCTCTCAGATAGGTAATGTTATGTTTTGAAACTATTTTTGTCACGCAGAGCTGATGTAGACTGGGCTGTTAAGAATGGGTTATAGGCACAGAAGTGCTGTTCAGACACTGAAATCTTCTGGTGTAAGACTGATGTGACTATTTTCAGTTTCATAAGGGCTTTTTACAGCATTGATAATGTAGATTTTATTTAGTTTGACAACAGAACATCAGTAAATAGCGCTATTCTGCCTAGCCTACATTACTGAGCTTAGGATGGTTTTATATTTCATATTGGTTCATTTTTAAACAATGACAACCTGCGACGCGCTCCCTATGGTGTTAACCGCTACTCTGAATATTTGGTCAGAAGTAGCATGTAAGTATAGCTTAGAAATAAGTGTAATAATGAGTGTAATTCCTGAACGACGCCGGCCAAGCTTTAGCTCAACACATGAGAGAGGGTTCTGCTGTCATCTTCACTAAGATACATGCGCTTGTGTTTTCCGGAGGCGTTGTTTTGGACGGCAGGGGAGGGATGGCGTTTCAGAGATTTATGCAGGCTAGCATTGTGGCAGATCACCTACTACACCTTAAATTTGTAAATACAATCACATTAACATAATCTATTTGTGTTGGGACAACATGAAGGAGTTGTGTGGCACCCAGCACTTTTTACAGTGCATTAAGGTTGTATTTGAAAGTTGAAAGATGGATGCTTTCCTGTGAGTGGGGTAAGCACCACTAGCAGTGAAGCAGAGCAGACAAGCCTCCAGCATTTGGGTGCAGAGCATTTGAGAGCTACATTATTATCATTAAGCACTGTTAAAATTAAAAAAAAAATTGGAATCCAGCATGATTTGCTTGATGAAAGGGTTTTGTGGGGATTCGTAAATGACAAATAAAATTCAAATCACTTTATTTCATGTGTCATTGGGCTTCCGGTTTGGTCGGCAACATGTGAAGACGTGTTTGACTGATCTCCATACTGAACTGCACATATTTTTTTTAACCACAAACGCAGCAGAGTCTGTTTAAAGGTGATTTATAGTTTATTATTTTCCTGTTTTCTGGACTTTATCAAGCTTAATTGACTATGCCTGACACGCGCAGCAAAATCGATAAGATGGCGGAACACGTGAAAGGGGAACGCAGTATGGAAACCAACCAAGAGCTCGTCCTCCGGGAAATAAGAGTACTTAAAATGGAGCTACTCAAGAAAATGGACGAGCTAAGGCCACTGAAATTAAAACTCAGTACGAGCATGAGTGCTTGGTGAGTTAACCATCAACTTTTGGAGCTATTTCTGTTTTTGGACTTAATCTGATTTCCTTTCATTGACTTTGTCGATCGACATCTTAAAAAAAAAGAAACGAAAATGAAATTGATTGACAGTAATAATATATAGATACATGCTTTTTTTTACTGGTCTTTACGTTTACTCTCTGTCAGTAAGAGAATTGCAGTTTGTGATAATGTTATTCCATTATAGTTCAGTAGGAGTTTAAGTCAGTATGGTTAGTTATGAGGATGTTACCTGAAAGTATATTAGCAGCCTCTATTAGAGGCCAGCTTATAGGAGTTAAGGTGTTCGCTGTTTTATTTCACCCCCCACCCATATATCATTATTATTTTATCCACTTACACCCAGGGAGCATGTTCATGTGACATTGAGCACAACCGATACCATGTATGCAACAATTTATAATGCTTCATGCTTCATTTTTTTTTTCATCACATGAGTGATGCTGACCAATAGTAGCACATAATCTCTTATGTGCACAACTTTTAAAATGACAAAATGAACAGAGGACTGCTTCCATGAAATGGAAGAAAGCTTTGAGTTGTGGTAATAGTACGCTTGTATGAAGTGTCATCATAGAACTACCGTGACAGAATAAAAAAGATTGATAGCTAAATGCACTTCTGCAGTCTTGTGTATTACTGGAATCAGTACTAGAATTATGCAAACTATGTATACTACCATGTAAACCAACAAATCAGACAATTACACATTTATAATACACATTTATAATCTATGGGGCTTCTTGATGACTGTAGACATCACATGTGTACACGTTGATATGTCAAGATTTCAAGATTCTAGACAAAATTGCATCATCTGACACATTGACTGTCGGAACCAACAATCAAAATCAAGTCATTTGAACTGGGATTAACTAAGCTGTTTTGTAATCAATTCGATTTTATTTGGGTGGTTAATGACACTGTTGTCTACCATTTTTACATCACTTTACCCTGACGTCTAGGTTTCTAAACCTTTCCTCAATATGCTAGCTATTCAGGACTGAGTAGTGGAAAGGATGGTCAACTCTTATTTACAATATTTCTTGGGCAACAACCCTTGTTGTAAAGGCACTTCAGATGCAGTGAAAACCTAAAGTATACATGTATGGTACTTGGCATTAGATGACTCTCACCTGCTTCTTGAACTGTTGGCACTCCTCTGGAGTCAGTGTGTCTGCTTTTGCGATGAGCGGGATGATATTCACTTTTTCATGTAACCGTTTCATGAACTCAATATCCAGTGGTTTCAGTCTGAGAGAGAGAGAGAGAGAGAGAGAGAAAGAGAGGAGAGAAAGGATGATAGAGAATGAGAGAGAGAGAGAGAGAGAGAGAGAGAGAGGAGAGAGAGAGAATATGATGGTTTACTATTTCAAACTAAACACAGAGAACAAGTATAAAAACAGACGCACAGGCCTCCACTGTCCTTCCATAGTGAGGTATCATATTCAGACTGCTGTTTGGCAGCTTGGCTGAACTTGTGGTTTTACTACGAGATGAGCTACATGTGCTGCAAGTAAAGCAATAAATACATGGCAGGAAATGCACATGAGCTTTTTCACCCGGGTCAGTGGCTTTCACAACTTTAGCTATTACACGCATATATAAATATACATATGCACAAACACCAGCAGGTGAAAGGGTTTTTTTAATGTACAGATGAAGTCAGAATTATAAGCCCCCCTTTGAATTTCTTTTCTTTTTTTTTTTTTTTAAATATTTCGCAAATGATGTTAAACAGAACAAGGAAATTTTCACAGTATGTCTAATAATATTTTTTCTTCTGGAGAAAGTCTTATTTGTTTTATTTTGGCTAGAATAAAAGCAGTTTTATATTTTTAAAAACACATTTTAAGGGCAAAATTATTAGCCCCTTTAAGCGTTATATTTTTTTCGATAGTCTACAGAACAAACCATCGTTATACAATAACTTGCCTAATTACCCTAACCAGCCAAGTTAACCTAATTAACCTAGTTAAGCTTTTAAATGTCCCTTTAAGCTGTATAGAAGTGTCTTAAAAATACCTAGTCAAATATTATTTACTGTCATCATGGCAAATACAAAATAAATCAGTTATTAGAAATAAGTTATTAAAACTATTATGTTTATAAATGTGCTAAAAAAACTTCTCTATGTTAAGCAGAAATTGGGGAAAAAAATAACAGGGGACTAATAAATCAGGCGGGCTAATAATTTTGACTTCAACTGTATTTTGAAAAGAAACAGAAGAACCACTAAACAAAAAAGAAACACTAAACAAACTAAACAAAAAAACAATTTAGGGAACACTCCACAAAACTCAGGCACAAAACGTGAGGCATGCAGTTTTAGGGATTAAATAATGATGCAAATGCCAGTTATCTGAGCAGCACAAATGTTAGTAAATCCTATTGCATGATTGCTTTAAATTATCTCCTCCAACATAATTTGTCTGACAAAGAAACGCATTCGCATTTTCAGTGCTGATTTTTTACTTTTGTTCTCAGCTTTTTTCCCCTTGCTTGCTCTATCTCTCACATTCAATCAGCATTTTACAACTTTGTAAGGGCACTCCAAAAGTGAAGTGCTAATTCTTCATTGCGAGTGTTTAGTAAATCTTGACAGTACTGTTTGAGCACCAAAAAAGACATAAGCTATAAGATATAAGCTGTTAGTAAATCTGTCCCTAAACGTCCAAATGCATTTCAATGTGGTTTACGATCTTTCATTTCAAAGAAGTTCAACAGCATTTTTTATTTTTTTTTTAGATTAGATTCAACTTTATTGTCATTACACATGTACAAGTACAATGCAACGAAATGCAGTTTAGGTCTAACCAGCAGTGCAATAGCAGCAAGTGCAGGATACAGGAATACGTTATAAAGTGCAGTTATAGAAATCTATGGTGATATTTACAGATGGGATGGATGTACTATGAACATTATATACAGGTTGGATAAGCTATGAACAGATTTACAATATATGAATATATGTGCAGGTTGCTATTAATAATCAGTAGTGTGCAGATAGATGAACATGATTACAAGTGTATATGTTACAATATATGAATATATGTACAGGGATAGATGAACATGATTACAAGTGTATATGTTACAATATATGAATATATGTACAGGGATAGATAAACATGATTACTTTGATTATTATCATGTTTGATAAACATGATTAACATGATTATTTTTCCTTAATATTTTGATGTCTTGATTTGGCTCATTTCTAATCAAAAACAAAACAAACAAACACGCAAAACGCCAAATAAACCAAATCAACCCAAACAAAAACAAGACTGTAAGGAGATTTTATTTATTTATTTTTTGTAGTATGTGGCTATGGTTGGTTTCCACATGACGTCACTGATGTTGCACGAAATTCAGATGGAAGGCAGGAAGTGATTCTTCTACATAGGAATCGCTATCAGTACCTCAAAATGGTTCTGTTTTATGTTGTTTATAATTGTTTAAATCAGCCAAAGTTTTTAAACATCTATGTGTACAAGCTATTTTGAGTGCGATAATTCATTTGACAACACCAATAAAGATTATACACTGGCCTAGGTTTGTGTATAAATGTGGTAATGTGTTATATAAAAATCAGATACAAACACCACCACCATCCAGGAGAATGTTTAGCAATAATCCATGTATTTTCTATCGTTTTGGTGAAACATACAAAAGTATCACTAATGTGAGATCATCAACCAAACAAAAAACAATAAAATGCAACCCTTGCACCAAAACTAGTCGGTTGTTATTGTTTAGCACTTTTCCCCCTGGCAAAAATAAATCAATCATAATGTAGACTATGCGTCTACACTTTTGTATGCTTTCATCTGTTATTTTGTGATGTTTGGAAGATATCCGCATGGGAAAAATCAATAGTTATTTATAATAAACATATTTTTGAATCACAAAGTAAAGTGTATAATGTGTACAACTCTGTTAATGAATACTACAGAATACTGTAGCATAGTAAACTGATAAACTAATAAATAGTGTAACGTTAATGTAAACTCTGCTGTATTGTAATGGTGTATAGTTATAGCGGAGAAAACTGAAGCCAGCTGAATAATGTGTTCATTTTTTACTACAGTTGTGTTGTACCTTAGCAGCAATATATAATTACTACAACAGTTTATTTCAAGTAATTATCTATAGTATTCTTCCATTACTATAGTATTTACTATAGTATATTTTCATGTAACGTAATAGCTTATATAGTATCTACTGCCTCGATGACAGGCAAATATATTTTAGTTCAGTAAAAAACTTGGCCCTCTTCATTATGTAAGAATCATGCCCAACATATGTGATTATTTTCTATTTATATCTCCTTTTAAAAAAAGGTATAAATCGCAAAAAATATTAACTTTCCTCCGTGTCTCCCATTCAGTTTTTTACTTTCGGCGCTCCATCTGAATTTCGCACATCACCAGAACCAAGTGATTGAACACGAAATATTAATATGCGTTTTGATCTCTACACCAAGCTCATCTCCCTCTTTCATATTGAAACAACAACAAACAAAACAGAAACAAACAAAACAACCAAACTAAAAACAAATCTTACCCACAACCCAAAAAATACAACAAAAAAACTATTCTAACTAATGCCCCATTCAGACAAGGCGTCAGCATCAACGCTTCCCATTCACTTTGAATGAGTGACGTCAGGCGTTGCCGAACTGCATTGTGGATCCATCTGTGCCGCTTCAGAGGCATTGCTCGCTGCAAAAGTTGGAACTTGCTCAACTTTTCAAGCGGCGACGGAAGCGTCAGCCAATCAGATCACTGTATGCAAATACACCAGCTCAGACTGTGGCCAATTGCTGACTAATTTCATTGGCTAACGCTGCTATGACGATTTTGTCAGCCCCAACTTCAGACATGCCCTCTGTCAAGCGCTGACGTTGAAGCCCCATGTGAATGGTGCGTATCAACACTAATGAAACCACATGTAAAATTATAAACAAGCTAAAAATAACAAACACAAACTGAACAACTAAACTTATCAAACCAAACCAAATACAAAACCACAGAAAAGACCAAATAAAACACAATATAATCAAGCAAGCCAGGGCTTTGTTTAATTCTACAACCTCAAGTATGGCCAACAGTAACAGAGTTGCTTGCCTAACGAACACAGTTAGGCTTCTCAGTGTTTTATGATTTTCTGAATATGCATACAAAAGCACTCAGATCATGAGCCATAGAGAGAAAAAAAAACAATGATGGAGAGAGATAAAAAGAAAGATATTAACCAACTCAAACACATGAAAAAGGATTCACTGGATCTGTTTTACGTCACATAATGTTTTTTAGACCACTTGGTGAGTATTAGATTTAACTTGCAACAATACAAATCATTTGACAAAACCACTGACGGTGCAAAAACTCCTAATGTACTTGGCATCACTTGAGAGCTCACTTCCCTCCACAGCAAAAAAAAAAAAAAAAAAAAAAGTCAATACAGAGAGTGCATGTTCATTTAAAGGGGACCTATTATGCTCCTTTTTTACAAGATTTAAAATAAATCTCTGATGTTCCCAGAGTGTGTATGTGAAGTTTTAGCCCGAAATACCACACAAATAATAATGTTTTATAGGTCTTTGAAACTGATGCTTTTAGGCTGTGATCTAAATTGTGCCATCTTGGTGACTGCCACTTTAAATTCAAATGAGATTGAATTTGGCTGCTTCTCACAAAGGACTGTTTATGCTAATGAGGGAGACTAATTTATCACTAATTTGCAGTGTATTCTCCCTCTGATTGGCCGTAGAAAGGAGAACATCAATAAAAGTGTTACAGCAGTTTTTATCAAGTGTGATTGTAACAAATTAGTTTGACCCTTAAGGCCTGTGCACACCGGGATGCTTTTTTGCTCCCGTTTTCCATCGACGTTTAGCACCTCACGACTAAATAAAGGGCGCCAATGTATGTGCACACCAGCATGCAAAAAGCCAGGCGTAAAAGTCTCTTTTTTTAAGAAACGCCTCATGCTCGTTTTTTTTTTTTTTTTTTTTTTTGACACACCACTTTAAAACCTTCTCCACCAATCAGATTGGCACTTTTGTTCACATGCATGAAGCAGCTGAAGTTACAGTAAACAGCACTTGCAGGCGCTAAAGCACAAAACTTTCAATGCGAGCGCACAATAAAGAAAATGCCCAGAGGCGGTATGAACGTGGAGCTGCTTATTGCTCTGGAGAACAATAATAATTTCTTCATCGCTAGAGCTGAAGCTGCTACTTGAACCATCTATGCTTTGAATTGCAAGTAACTTTAACAACAAGCGTGTCAACTTTCTGTCTTCTTCTGTGTTACAAGCGGGTGTCAGAAACTTAAATTTGTGTAGCGCCATCTAACGTCAAGGGGTGATTTTGCAAGCTCTTTTCCACAATAGCCAGTGAAAATCGATTGGGTTTGAATCCGGAAAAACGACTCTAAAAACACTGACGATAAACGCAAACGAAAAGCAACCCGGTGTGTACGAGCCGTTAGAGGGAGACTATATTCACACACTGTTGCCACACAACTGTTTAAAACCCTTAAAAAAGTGATTTTTGCATAATAGTTCTCCTTTAATGCTTGAAACTGAGTGCTTACCCATGACCAGAGGGGGCGATGAAGTACAGACAGCAGTGCACTCGACTGTCAGGCATCTGCCGTCTATTGACACGTGACTCCGCGTTAAGGTAATCCTCAAATTTGCTGTCGATGTGATCGATGACAGGCTGCCAGCTACAGAATAATAAGAGATATTCAGAGTTGACAAACTACAGATGCAACACAAGCAAATTATTCATGTTCAGGGTATATACTGAAATCAAATCAGTGAGTGAAATTCAATACTTTTTCAAGGCTCTTTCCATATATTTTAAGACCTCATCGCCACTTTTGTATGTCTCTATTACTTTTTTTTTTCTAGGTTTTACAATAAATCAAACCCCAATACCCAAAACTTACCTCAGACAGGTTTAGGGAAAATTTTAAATTAAATAATAATTCTTAATAAACAAAATTATACTAAAATAAACAAAAAATAAAATCTAGACAAGCATCAATTCAGATTCCGCAACTTCCAAGTCCAAAAACACTTCCCAGATATCACAAAATTTGGAGGATTTTTTGCCTTATTATATACATTTAAAGCCAGAATTATTAGACCCCTGAATTATTCACCCACTGTTTATTTTTTCCAATTTCTGTTTAACAAAGAAAAGATTTCTAAACATCATAGTTTTAATAACTCATTTCTAATAACTGATCTATCTTATATTTGCCATAATGACAGTAAATAAAATTTGACTAGATATTTTTCAAGACACTTCTATACAGCTTAAAGTGACATTTAAAGGCTTAACTAGGTTAATTAGGTTAACTAGGCAGGTTAGGGTAATTAGGCAAGTTATTGTATAACGATGATTTGTTCTGTAGACTATCGAAAAAATATAGAGCTTAAAGGAGCTACTAATTTTGACCTTAAAATGTTTTTTAAAAAATATAACACTGCTTTTATTCAAGCCGGAATAAAACAAATAAGACTTTCTCAGAAGAAAAAAAAATTATCAGACATACTGTGAAAATTTCTTTGCTCTGTTAAACATCATTTGCGGAACATTTAAAATAGAAAAAAAATTCAAAGGGGGGCTAATAATTTTGACTTCAACTGTACGTGAGCTTTTCAAGAGCCAAACATGTTATCAGGTTTCTCAACCAAAGTCCAATGGAGGGGCTATTAACATTTTTCCAACATAAAGCAATACAACTTATAGACTTTTACGCATAAATCAATCAATTTTCTTTCTTTAGCAGACAAAGCACAACTGTCTTCATACATATTCAATATACATAATCCAGGACTTAAAGGAATTGCAATGAAAATAAATTGTGAAATATATTGAGTCAACTCCAACCAAGAACTCTGTACCTCCTCACACTCCCACACACAAATAAAAAATGTGCCTTGTATCTTATTACATTTAAAACAAAGATCAGGGATATTAGGGTTAAACTTATTTAATCATACAGGAGTAATACGGGTTCTCATAACTCAATTTGTTGTAGCAGTCTCAATCGGGAATTCAATGTTTTTTTTTTGTGCATTCAAAAAAAATTATATTCCAGTCCTCTACTGGGATATCCATTGTTGTATCTTGAATCCATGCTAGTCTTTTATTTTCAGAGTTTTCTTTATGATTTTCTCTTAATGTGTTATATAATTGTGTAATTCATCCTTTGATGGAATAATCTTGTTCTGTAAGAGTTGGGTTCTTAGTTGTAAATATTATAAAAAGTGTTTTTGAGGTAAATTTAATTTAGCTACAATTACATTAAATTGCTTAAATGACATTAATATATTGTCTTCATACAAATCTTTTAATCTTAATATGTCCTTATTCATACATTCATCGGCACTTTAGGTTTCAACCAGTAACATTGGCAACATTTTAACTCACATTATATTTACATACTAGGGATGCCATGGTTCTCAATATAATATTCAACTGTACGATACGACCCCTACGGTTCAATACACGCTTGTGAATTGCGGTTTTCTCGGTTTTGTGTTTACATAATTTATGTGCGTTTTATATCTCCCCGTATTGACCGTGTAATATCCAATCTAATCACTATGCTCTAAAGTTAGGGGGCGCTTGACCATCATTCTACACTTTAACATGGCGAGTGACGGTAAAGTGAGGCTGAGGCAACAGTACAAGGAAGTGCCGGCGAAGTGACGCAACAGAACAAGAAAGCGCCAGCGACTTTTAAATCTGCGGTGTGAGGATATTTCAGTTTTGCCGGTAAGTATAATGCCAACAAAAGAAAAAATGGTGAACAAAAAAATCTGTGTGCAAGCATTGTTTTACACGTATAACCATGACTGCACATCTGCAGCTCCATCACCCAGCAATATCACTGTCTGAAGGCAGAATAGTAGAGAAGGTAATAAAGTCCTCCAAATAGCAACAATCCCTCGCTGAATCTTTCAAGCAGACATACCCAACTGGTTCAGAGAGACACATAAAAATAACAAAGGCAGTGCGGGTGTTTATTGCTAAAGATTTGCAGCCGTTTTCAGTGATTGGAGATGTGGGCCTTTGTCATTTTATAAAAGCACTCGATCGGCGTTACAGACTACAATCTTGCATTTTTTCAGCACCGAGATAATTAAGATGGTTTATTTATGTTTAGTACAAATATGTTTATTTGAAATGGCCGATTTTTCTTTATTAACTTCACATGTATGTTTATTTTCAAAGTGTAGGATTTTATGTGTTCCCCAGTTTGTACATGGGCTACCAGCAGCTGTGAGATTTCAGTGTTCATTTTTTTTTTTATACAATACACTAGGAACTAGTGTTGTTTTTTTTTTAGCTTTTAAGTAAAACAAAATTAATATTGCAATAAATAATCAAAATTTATTTTTTTTCTCCTTAACCTCTTACTGTTCCTATTGCCTATAGAAAAAAACATGTGTCAAGCCATGAGAACAGAACAGAACACTGTGTTAAAAAACCGAGATATGTATTGAACCGTGGGCTAACAGTATTGTTGCGTCCCTATTACATACTGATTGTAAGAAACTAATCCTAAACTAAAATGTTATTCAGTTACTTAATAAAAATCTTAATAAAGAAGGAATAGCAGTGCTTTCCTGGTTACTGCAGTAAACAAAGCAGTGTGATGTCAAATTTAGCAGGATGTGATTGATTTCATAAACTACACAGCATCCCAATTTGTCGCAGATTAAACTCAGGCAAAATTTAGCATACATTTTCTAAATTGACTTATCAACTTTTTAAGGCCCTGTGGACACCCTGATACTTTTAATCAAGTCATACATTTATTAACATGGCAAATGAGGAAATCTATATGAGCACTGAAAGCTATCAACCCATGACAGGTGAGATGCAGAAAATAATATCACACTAACCAGTTACTGTTATCCACGGCATCTCCGAAGCCTGGTGTGTCCACGATGGTGAGCAGCAGCTGAACTCCACCCTCTTTAATCAGCACCTTGGATTGCTCCACCTAACAATAAAAAGACAGGTCACATAACTACAATGCAACAATACAGGATTGTAATTGATTTGTTCCAAAACCACCGCCGTAATGCTGGTTTTCATATGTGCTACCCAGTGGTAGAGAATAAATCTGTATTTTCATTTATTAGAGATGTCATGATTAACTAAGCCTGTTGAAAATCAATTCAGATATGTGACAAATCTAATCAGTTGGGGTGTTAAACTTCTCGTGATACATGTTTTAATTCGCAATGTGTAAATTTTTGATGATTTTTACAAGTATTAATGACTTGACAAGTACTAAAAAGCGACATGTGAACATCAATAGAAAGCACTTTTAACATTTAGTAAATTTGTTCTAATTGTTTTTGCTCGTGCTGTCACTTTTAATGAGCATTTTACAAGTTTGTATGGACATTGGAAATGTGAAGAGCCAGAAAATTTGTTAATGCTTACGTTTCCAAAAATAATTAAAAAAAAATCACAAAGTCTTAGGGTGTTTTGACACCTGTAGATCGATTGTTTTGGTTCGAAACAGGGAATAAAATTGTTACAATGTTGCACTTTGTTCTGGGTGCAGTTAGGTTTCACATAGCAAAGTTTCTAAATCGACTAAAATTATTAAAACAAGTCACGTGTGAGTAAATTCTCCTCACATTGGTCAGAGCTCCACTGTTTATTTTTCTGTCATACGTCCATATTTAAATTTATGACAAAAGGCAATAATACATAAGCAAAAAGTTACACTTAAATTATGAATGGTGACATCCACAGACATTGTCACCAAATCATAGGTAAGACTTTCTCATATACAACTGTTGGCTAGTGTTATGCATTATAGGCTTTACAATATGGAGAGAAATTATAGGTACAGTAAACCAAGATTGCAGTTTGGTCAATTTTCCTAACCGGTAAACAGCTTTTGCTAATAGTTCAGCATGCTTTCACTTGCGTATTCGACATGAAACACACATTTACTGCTAGAAAAGACATCCCGCCCTACTCATAATTCTCTTTCATATAGCCATATACGATTATTACATATCCACTGTGAGAGCACCTCGCTCAGGCCATCTCGGACCAATTGTTTTGTCATGGATCAGAGCGTGATTGCTAGAGTCACATATGCCAAACGAACCATGCTAACTGGGGAAATGCACCAGGTTCCAAAACAAAAGTCTAGGTGTAAAAGCACCCTTAGTTTGTCTAAAAACCTATAAAACTACTAGTTTTATTTGTATTATAATAACTATTATTATTATTATTATTATTTAACTAGAATTTTGACAATTTAATTTAGTTTTGTTAGTTGAGAAAACAAATGTTTTTATTTTACAAAGACAAAAAAAAAAAATACTTTGTCAGTCGGGTTTACAAAATGCGTGTTCAACAGAAGATATAAAGTCAAACAAGTTTTGAACAAGTGGAGGGAGAGTAAATGTTTTGGATAAACAATCCCTTCAACATGAACAATTTCCATTCTTTCTTGTATCTTGCTTATAAATAAACAAATCTAAAGCAAATTAACTCATGTTGATGCTTTCTCTTCACTAGTATCTAACTAACTAACTAACTAACTAACCGATTTGCTATATTTGGTAACAAAAAAACTGCCACGACATTTATTGCCGAAAGCCATCCAAAAACCCAACAATACCTTTAACTTCAACAGAAGAAAACTAATCATTTTTCAGCCCTTTGGACTACAAACACAGTGCTAAAACAAAGTCCCTAAACCGATAGCAGTATGTACAAGACAAAACACAAGAAACTGCAGAAACCTCAATTAGATCTACACGAATGAGTGGTTTCCAGAGAACTGTGAGCCTTTTTTAAAAGCAGATATGCAAACAGCATGAGGGCCAAAACTCGTGATGAGCGAGCACATAGACTCAGGTTTCTATTCAATCGTGCAGCAACAAAATCAAGGCCTGCAGGGTTCAAAACAAGTTTTATGTGCACATTTAAGAGCAGCAAAAAAACAAAACCAAGATTTCTGATATGATTCAAGACACAATGAGCAGCTTACTTGCAAAAAAACAAAGACTGGCTGATTTAAACGATTTAAAAGTTAAACATCTGACATGCAACTTGCTCCATGGACATAAATAATAGCTCAAATCCTGCAAAGAAATCTCCTCAATCAATAACAGTAGCTTTAAATTGATGGTTCACATTTTTTCTAAGCCCTTTAAATATATTGCAAAGCAGTCCAGCTCGACAGATTCATCCCACATGTGTGTAACCTCAGCTAAAACAAGCTCAAGCCCACACCTTTCCACGGGCAATATAAAGCAGCTGTGGTCTGAGACTGTGGCTTCTGGGTTTGGGTTGTTCAGGCCTGCATTTTATGATTTCCTCCTAAACGGCCCTCAGCGTTCCACAACTCAAGACGGACACCACTAAACCTAGTGCAGGACATTCATTTCAAGAAGAACACCCTCCCGAAAGAAAAACTTGGCCGGCGAAGACTTCCAAACAGCTGGATGAATGATCTAAACCCACTGTGACTGTTTTAGAGAGCAAGTTATGTCTTTTTTACATTACAGTCAGAACTAAATTGAGAATTTTTAATCATTACACTTACATTATGCCATCTCAAACTGACAATAAACATCCAGGAACGAGTTAAAGATTGGTTTCAGTGATTTTGTTGAAAGCATAGATTTTTTTTCTTTCAAAAAACTAACAAAATAAAATAAATGCATGTTTATTGAAGTGGCCCAAATTCAAGTTAGTGGTAAAACCAAACAAAACAAAAAACAACACAACAAATAGATATATTTATCAAATTACAATTAGTTAAAATTAGCATTGCCATTGTTTATTTAAGATTATATGATTCAGGCTTAACATTGCAGGCCTTCCAGATTTCAAATTGCACATTACTGTTACAAATCGAAAACAAAGCATTATTTACAAAAGTTCATGAAACAATATATGAGTTACTTGCATTCGGAAGACAAGAGGGCTATTTTTGACAAAGAAAAACATACATTTTGTTTGGGCAAATATATTTAATAAAAAAAACACATTAATTACTATAATACTTTTCTATAATACTTTGCTTATACTTCTGGTATCAAGCTAAAATGGCAAAATTGCATACCTGCAGGTACATTCTCATACATAAGCAGCACGTACAAACATGAACAAGCAAGTGGTTGGTCTTGCTAACAAACAACCAAATCATAACTTTTATTTGAAGAATTCTTAAAAAGACCCTCTTGTTTTCCCTAATTTGCGATTGCTGAATCCAACGCAAAACCAACAAAAAGTCGAAAATTTTTGCGATCAGCAAAATTCTTACTTAAATGCAAATAATATGCAAAAAAATGTAAATAATCTCATATTACATCCAATTCTAAACCATATGATCAAATTATATTTATTTCACTGTTCAATTAATTGTTTTATATGACTTGTAGACGTTGCATACGCCGCACAAGTAATGTTTGAGTGTCTTTTAAAAAATGACGTCTCACCTGCGCCCTCACAGGGGGTTTTGCAGCCTGTGCAGTAAGCTGACGCGGATGAAGTGCGAGTTATTTACATGTGAATTAAATGTAAAGATAAGATAAGATTAGGTTATGAAATCTGAAAGAGAAAAAGTACGATTGTGGATAAAATAAGAGTTATACAACTGTCTTTTGGCTTAATTGCTACCGTTTTAGATCTGTTTTAGATCTTGTTTTGACAAGAGACCAAAATAAAGAAGCTTTATTTTTATGAACTGTGTTGTTGTGTCAGATTACACAGGTAACATAATAAGCTACCTATTATGGTAAATAAGATATTTTTTATATTTATATATATTTTTTTCAAAAATGTATGGGAATTATCACCACAAAATCTGTCACTTTTTATTGCAAAAAAACTCAAATTAATTAATAAAAAATAATAATAATAAAATTAAAAATTAAAAAATCTTGAAAAACTACAGCCTGTCTTAATATTGACTTCAGGGTTCTATAGTGTGACCAATTTGGTCACTCAATTATGGTATATTCTCAATGGTGCAACTTATAAGATTCTGAGGTTGCAACAGCTATTTGAGGGCAAAAAATGAAATAAAACAACATCTTAGTGATGGAGTTTGAAGAACAGACACATGTTAGTGTGCCAATGTTCTGGTTTAAACCATAAATGCGATGTGATCAAAGAAAAAAGTAAGGCGCACAAGTGAAACCAGTGCAAGAAGTAAGTCTACAGCTCTGGACTTTGCAGTTCTTTGCCTATTTTTCAACAACAAGTTTCATTAACAAGATGTTTAAATAGATCTTGAGAAAGCCAACATACTGTTATGCTACTCTGTCCTTGAAAACAAACGTATCTCCTCCTAGGCCGTTCATGCCACAAGGCCCAAATGTGGTCAAAATGTGCTTTCTACATTCAAGATTGTTGCTATATCTCCTCATGCCTATAAGACTTATTGTTTTTTTAATAAAAAATGTTAAATATAAATTTTTTTTAAACCGAGCATATAAAAAAATTATACAAGCCCCAAATTTGGCCAAAAGCTGTATTTAGATGCGTTAGATTTTGTTGCTATATCTTTAAGGTTTATCAGACTTATAGTTTTCCAATAAATAATTTTAAAGCATTATTTTTCTCAAAATATGGCAAGCCATTTTTGACTTAAACTCTATGTTTGTTGTCTATTTAAACATAACTACCCCAGATATTTGTGCAATTAGTTAAGAACAGCAATCTGATGATTTTGAGAAGTAGTGCATACCTGGCATAAGATATCAGCATTGGCCATCAAAAAACCTGTATCAGAATAAAATTCAACTCTAATCTGACAGCATGGAAAATCTCAAAAATCCTAAACATCCTGACATGCAGATTTAATCCTCAAAAACTATCAAAAAGCCTTTGAAATTTTTTTCTTACTAAAAACAACACAAATATTCAATGAAAGTAAAAAAAAAATTATAAGAACATCTTGAGGTAAACTATGACAGCTTGATTTTTGAGTGAATAGCCTCCTATACACACTCTCCA